TCTTTCCCACAGAGTCTTTTCGATCCGGTGATCCACACCACAATGAGTCAACAAAGGCAAAACAACAAAACAGAGATGGAAAGTCTGGGAGAGGGAAGAAGAATAAAAAACCCCTTCAGGTGCCGGTACGTGCTGATGCAAGAGAATCACATATCCTATACCTGCCTATTTCATTCATTAAGAGCACTTCTGCAGTGTGTCTTGCTTGAAAATGCATACATTTAAAAAGCTGCATGCAAATTGGGGTGCCTTTTTTGTATGTCTGTCTTTGGTTTAATTTCCTTTTTATTTGAATTAGTGGGTTTTCTGTTTGAATGTGTTGAAGGCTAAGTACTTTTCTAGATAGTATACCAGGAGGGTTATTAATTTTACACAGGAAGGTATCAGTCCTTGCACTTTAGCTGGCAGGTGAACCTAGGCAGGCTTCATATGATGTAGAATAGACTGAAGGAGCGGTGAGCCACATGCAGGTGTTGTGCAACTGCAAACAAGCAAGGTAGGCCTCGTAATGTTGTATCCTGCCTACAAAAGTCTCACAATATTTTTCTCTGAAACTATGAAACGTTAAGCACTTTGCAGACAGCATAATGATTGAATCTTATGTACAGGGCAACTTTTGTAACTCTAGGTATGTGTACGTATAAAAAAATCTATTTATAAAGTTATAAAGAGATTTTCAGGATCTCTGTCTGCTGGAAAGAATTATCTCTGTTTAATGAGATGAAGGCTGAAGACTGAATTGTTTACATTAGGTGCTCAGGTCAGCAGCAGATCTTAGGCTTAAACTGTGAGACCTAATACCTCTGAAGGTATTCTGAGAGACTTTTGTTTTGAAAAGCTGTACTGCTAGATCTCTCATCAGTAGTATTTACTAGACAGAAGCAATGTGTCTTCTACAGTTTGTAACAAAAATGGGAAAATCTTTTTATCAGCTGGGTGTGAGTTCACTGGCACTCAACGATGCTCTGAAAGGCTATGTCATGGGCTGTCAGAGGAACTGCAGAAATGCAAGTCATCCTGTAAATCGTGCTGTTTTTTCCTGTGTTTTGCCAGGTGATTAGAGTGGATGATTGTCCCCAGAACACCCAAGTGAGCTCAGAGCCTGCAGAGACTGATGTCTGGAGTGAGCAAGAGAAGCACAGCAAGAATCGACTCACTGTGTCTAAATTCAGTCAGCTAAGTATGTGGTATTTTGAAGATGGTAAAATTCAGAACAGCTTTTAAAAAGAAGCAGTAAATAAAAATTCACAAGTTCAAAGCATCATTCACCACTTTCATTTCATGGCATAACTTTTACAGAATAAGAATTAGGTTGTAGGCAAACGCAACTTGTTTATTTGCTATGTCATTGCATAGGCAAAATGGGCATGGGTTGGATGGAAAGTCAATTTAATCTTTCTAGGAGTGCTGCCTGTCTCATGTGCGAGATGGTAAGAGTAATCATCCTCAGGAATAAGGGGGAAGCAAGGAGGATGATATCCTTGTCTCCTCTAAACTGGCATCCTGGCAAACTCACTTATGAATTTCTCAAGGCATTTACACTCACAGGCAGTTCTGCAATACTATATCTGCTGGCAGATCCTCTGCATGCAATATTCATTACTCACTGCTCAGAAATATGTATGTGAAGGCAAGAAATTAATTCTGTATCATGTCTGTTGGAATGAAAAGGGAATGGCATTCTTACTCTTCTTTGAGCAATTCTACAGCTCTTTCATTCTCATAAATCCTTTGCATGGTTCATCTTCTCTTTAGGCTTTGCTGTGATGGAACTCACTGGCTTCATCCTGTGAGCACTGGGAGAAGCACCAGGGAATGCTGTGACTCAGCACAGCATGGTCTGAGAAGGGCTGTAGTCCTCTGAAATCTGCTGACAGAGGATGTAAACAGTACAGTTTAACCCTGTGAAATTCTGTTACTGCTTTTTTACATTTCATGCCTACTGGGGCAATATGATATATAGGTGTTTGTTTTATAGCACTGCATAGGTGTTTAGTTGGTAGCAGTAGAACTTTCATTTAGACTCTGGAAATATCTGACACCCTCTCTTCTGACTAGGTTTGGAACGCTGCAAATATATGCACCAGAAAACCAAAAATCAAGGTATCAGTAGGCATACCATACCATTCTGTGATTACCTGAGTCATTCTCAAGAGGTAAGATCCAATAACACCCCAGTCCACAGTTTTGGTTGGGTTGTGTTCAAGGTGGCTCTACTGATGTTTCTGGACTTGGCACTTTAAGTTCTTTGTCATGAAATACCTCTTGAGAGATGAGGAACTTTGTTGTCTGCTGGCACGTGTGTGTGGGAAAATTAATGATTTAGCAGCTGCTAACATTCTATTAAGGTTATTTCAGTAGGATACTAAATTGTTGAATCACAGAAAGGTTCTGAGTATGAAAAGGCTGGTCATAAATGATACATGTGTGGATGTTTCATTAAGCAATGAGTGAAGACACAGCTTGAACCTGAGGGCAGAATTGATTAAAGGAGTGAAATAAACTTTGGAAAGTTAGCTACATAGTTCTTAGTCTATCACACAGAGTTGGTTATTTCTTGCACAGACAGAGTTAAGTATTCATAATAATTGCAAAGCTTGGATTTCTTAACCACTGGCTTACAAACACCATAACTTATTTATCAAAATTTATTTGCAGGTCTATAATGTAAAAGTCCTCTTACTATGTAACTCAATATAGGCTCATTGACTTTGATGGAACTAGACCAGTTTATATTTCCTGATGACTGAGAGAAGTAGCCTCAGTCTGGATTATAGAAACTTCTATCTTTTTAAAAATGTTGCAGCTAATGGAAGAAAGTGTATCTTTCACTGCATTGTGTAGGGATATCTCAGAGGTATGAAAGGACATTAACAAAGAATAAACTAATAAAAGGAACTGTGAAATAACCTTTTCCTCTTCCTTTTTCACCAACACCCTTACTTGTTTGTTTTTCTTATAGCACTCTTGATTATTAAAATAACGATCTTTAAAAGCCTAGATTATTTTAACTGTAAATGATATGAGTTGTATTTTTTTTATTTATTTCTTTTTTAAGGAATAAACATAAGCCAAATAGTTTCAGATCTGCTGTTCTGATTGCTGTAGAATTTGAATCCTAAATACCAGAGAAGAGAGCTTGAATCTAAATTTTTAAAATGGCAGGGTTTTGTATGAAAGAATAGAGGGAGAGAGAGAAATAGAAATGTATTTACTGTTTTTGTATTCTGTAAATAGCTTAAAATCTAAATCAATACATCTTTGAAATGTGGAACACAAGGTCAAAGAAGCAAAATAAAAGTACAGTCAGGGAAACTGGGTGACTGGGCTAAGCAATCTAACTTTTCAGAACTCGCATTACGATGTCTTGAGTAAAACTCAAGGGTAGGATTTTTAAAGTTCTCAGAAAAATTCCACTGATTACAGCAAGACTAGATTTAGGCTGCAACTAGTCACTTTGAGAACACAAACTTCAGATTATTTATTCTTTCATGATACAGCCTCTAGTACCCACTGAGTCGCTATGCCTCTCTTCAGGACCTGTATGGGTTGTGAGGGTTTAAGTGTATTGCTGAGATGTAACAATGTTGCTGCATCCAACTGTTCCCCTTGGAGTATGATATATTTTAAGAAATATGTTTTTTCTGAAGTGGTACTTCTCAGATTTACCCATTTATCACCAGTGGTTCATGTTCCCTCCTGACAAGTAGCAGGAAGCAAATAAAGGGTGTGGAAGGAAGACTTTGGTTCTGTTAAATATTTTTTCCTCTGGAAAGCAAGGTACCAGGTGAAGATACAAGTGAAATTAGAAAATTGTTAATTAAGTTTTAGTTCATATTTAAAGCAGAATTTTAGTTAATTTATCTTTAAACATTATTGTATTTGAACTTTTTTTGAGGGCTCTGTTTCTGTTGCGGATTGAAATCTTCCTGACTACCAATCAGGAGAAAGTTTCTGAGTAGTATATTAGGAGGACCCAGCTGGCCCAATTTTCTCTAATATGGCTGGAAGTTTGAAAGACTACTTGAGCACTGTAAGACCTCAAAAAGATATAATTTAAATATCACTGGAAAGCTGCTTAGCCCATTGTCTTCTTATTTTATGGAAGTTTAGGGTGCATATTACTTTCAACAACTGTAAGGCCTATTCCTAAACTGGAATTTTCCATTATAAAGAGACTTCTCCAATACTGTCTGTATTAGAAGATCTTTAACATGCTTTTGTGAGTGTATCGAGATACAGGTGGGTACCTGACTATTTCATTCAAATATATGGAGACAGCATGAAAAACTGTAATTTGAGCCAATTAATTTCATTTTAGTGTAGGTATGGCAGTGCTGTGATTTGCCTGCCTGTTAGTGTCATTTTTCATGCTAATGATAAGCATAACAACAAGAGTTTTTAGGACTGTGTCTTTTTGAGTTGTGAAGTGTGTATATGACAGTGATGTGCAGATTTTATCAGTAAAAATGTCTCTCTTCTTTACAGGATTTGAGTAATAGCATATTTGGAGCCACTGAAAAAAGTAATCTGGACAGGAACTCTTGGTATGTATTATCTGCATATTAAGATATTAATCACATGCTTGTATGCTTTATGCGGGTTTCCACTTCAGTTCTGTGATATGCTTAGGACAAGGCAGATACGTGAAATGAAAAGTTAAAGCAATTCAGTCTTTTAAAGTTTCTTTACTGTATAACTTTAGGTGGAATAGACACTCCTTTTTATTCTAACAATAATCCAATTTTCTGATTCAATCACTAAGGTCACCATAGCATTTTTAACTAGTCATTGTTCCAATCTAGTGAGCATGCAAAGCTGCATTTGCTGTTACATTTCCTTTTTTTAATAACTAAAATGCTCGCAGCTCCTGAAATCTTCTCTCATTCTCTGATTTAGCTCTTACACACTGAGTCTGCACATTTACACAATATTTAGCTCGGTTTTCTTAATGGGTTTTTAGTATTTATTAAGCTTTGGTTATATTTAGTGAAAGTGTGTTGATTTCAGAAATGTTTTTGATGCTGTTGTGGTTTCCCCCCACCCCTGCCAGCTTGAGTGATCATTATCTTCATATTGGGGGTATTTTTTTCCACATCTTCATCTATGTACCTCTTAATTTTCTTATGTTCATCAATCCCTTTTATATCTTTTACTTAGTAACACTGTGGTTATAAAAACATATAAGAAAAAATATAAGATGCTAGAAAGCTGTCACATCCCATGTGATTTCACCATGGAAAGAGGAAAAATGATATTGTGGTTTTTACCCATTTTGTTGTTGCTTTTTTTTTTTTTTTTTTTTTTTTAAATAACCTAGTTGTTTATATGCAGTAGGCAAACTTACCAGCAGGACTTAAAGGCTGTTGAGTGTGGCCTGATTCTGTCACTTAGTCTGTTGCTTTCAGTGCAATCTCTCTGATCGGTGAGGTGAATCACATCTAGTGCCTTCTGAACAAAGTCTTTATCTTAAATGTTAATTCTGATGCTATAGTCTCTCTGCAACATTTATAATCCAAAGGGCCATCAGTTTAAAAAGTCTGGTTTTGTGCAAGCAATAGTAGTCTGTGTAGTGAGCAGCCTTGCATACATTTCAACACTGAGGAAAAAATGAACAATGTGTATGTGATTGAAGTAGTCTTTAACTGATATTGTGGTGTAAATGATAGGAACAGTGGTGCAGAGTCTTAAATGCAGCTCAACTTCAAGCAGAGAAAGAAAAATATATCTATTCTTTGGTAACTGAAGAGTATTTGGTGATTGTTACAGTGAACATAATTGCACTGAGTGTTATTTTGGTTCATGATTGTGCATCAAACCTTTCTGAGTTTTGCCTTTACGTAGATGACATCTTTATATGCACTAGTGTTAGCTTAATTACAGAAATTTTTAAGTAAAATACCAGATGTTTGCTTTTTAAACAGGTTGAGAACTTCAGAGGAAACTCACAGTAAGTTTTTGGTTGCTTGTCAATGACTTTCATTCCTGTCTGCAAATGTTGTTCTAAAAGTTCTGAAGTATAAAATCCAAAATGAAGTTAATTTACTATAGTTGGAAGGTTATAGGAAAATGTCCAACTTTTGTGTCATTTATTATTCACTAATTTGCACTTCAGTATGAAAGATTTTTTCATGAGAACATGTGTTTCTCACAATAACTTCAAAATACAAAAAGAAAAAAGAATCTATTTTTACTCTAGTCTGTCCAATAATGTTGTCCTCTCCAGAAGGAGGAAACTCTTTGAAGATGATGGTGCTGCTTTCATCCCTGGCAGTCTAGGGGATCCCGAGGATAAATTCTGATATGACATTTTTTATGTATGCTTGATTTTTCAAGTTGCAGTTTGATGTAATTTTTCTGTTTGAGTGGTTTCCCTGAAATGATGAAATCAGTGAAGGATTGCATTTATTATGAAATGGCCAATGAAGAAATTCAAGTTTATAACAAGGGATGGCTTTGTGCTGCAAAAGCAGAGTGATAGTTAACTTCAATTATATTCGTTGCCTCTTAGTCTGTCTTCCAATTTTCCTAACGTGCCATTAGCTGTGAGAGGCTTAACAGCTGGGCACCTGTCTCTTTTTGAGGCTAGCTGTGATGCAGGAATGAGTCACTATAAGACTTGTCTCCCCGACAAGTGCTGCTCTTTCTGCGTCTGACTGCACAAATCGCTGCGGTGCAGAAGCACACTGCTGCAAGGTTAGGGAGTTGTGGGGCTACTCTCTAGAGTGCACCATTGCTTTGATTAAAATCCAGTTTTCCTATCCTCAAAAGAAATGGCTTAGCTGCCATCTCCCTCTTCATGTTGATTGTTTTACAACATACAAAATGAAACAAAACTGGTTGGGTCCAGCAAGAAAGGGACCTTGAATCACCAGGGGCACTCAGTGGAAGTACTAGCCCTTCCCCCAATGTCTTTTTATGTTTTTTTATTTAAGATCTTTTTCACTAGAAAAGGGAATGCAAGCAAATAAAATACACAAAGTGGAAAACTGTAGTATTTCAAATATTTTTATGAAGATTCAGTTTTTATTATCTCATTTTTCAGAACTAAAACCAGTACAGTATACGTATTTTCTGAAATCTGGCATTTAGAATGATTGTTTTCCAATAGAACAAAGTGGTTTCATCTAATTAATGGAAACATGCTCATTAATCTTGGCTATATTATAGAAGCTTTTTATAAGAAAGATTTTGGACCAAATTTGATCTGGCTATGCCTGTTAATATAACCACAGAAACTATTTGTCTGTTTATACTTCAGCATCATTATAGATGTTATGGGTTAATGGGACAATATTATTATAACTTTGGTGTAATAGTATAGTTAATGGAATACTTCATGACTGAGAATGGAGTTGGAAAAATCATGCCTCTGGGAGGCTGTGAAGCATGATGAACAGAAAAGTGCTTTGAATATCCCAGAGGTGTAGCTGGCTTAGAGAAGCTACATGTCCTTCAGGTTAACATCACAAGTTTCCCACCGTTTCCCTGAATAAATAAGTCATCTGGCTATATTACATTGATGACTGAAATGTGCCAATATAATGTACGTTATAACATAGTTAAAGCCTATTTGTAATTCTTCTCTTTTGAATGCTGAGACAGTAATTCTGGTTAATCTGTTTCATGACAAACGCTGAGATGGAAGGAATTAAAAAATAATGCATTTATCCCTGCTATAACAAATAATGTAATGATCCTTTAAACATTATTTCAGATATCTTTGCTTGCTTGAAAACATCTCAAGATCTGCATCATCACTACTCAGGTAAGCAGGAGACACAAGAAAAATATCTGAGTAATTTAACAAATTAAAAAGAGCAATAGTTGTTCCCCTGTCATCCTCTGTGATTTTCATGTTGAAGAGTTGCACAATGGCCCCCTGCTAAGAATCTTCTGAATTGATTTATGCCAAACACCCCAGTGAGGAAATTATGAATTATTTTCTTGCTGCTAATTGCTGCAATCTGGGTATTTCTGGCAAATCTGGGGCAGAATGTAGATAATCACTTTCAAAATATCAGTGGAAACAACGAATAGAGCTCTGATTCCTGGGAGGGCAGAAGAGGCACTCACTTGTTTATAGCTGTCATTTCCCCTCACACCTCCCACATCCTCCTTTGTACTTTCTGGAATTGTTTTCTTCAGTTAATTGGTCCTGTACTGCTTAATCTGTGTTTTTATACCTATGAACTCTGGAAATCTGGCACAGAATAAATAATTTGTATGCTAATTGCCTGCAGTCCTGTCTTTTTCTGAACTGAGTATGCACAGATTTTCCCACAAGGTTTGGATTTCAGTTTTTCCCGTAGAAGAACTCTGGAGAGCTTGCCAGTAGATGTCTCTGTTGCCTACAGGACTTGGCCTCCTTTAAAGGGAAGCCTAGGGAAAACCAGAAACATTAGTAGCCTTCTGAAGTTCAAAAATCGACAAGAATTTCACTGGGAATAACACTTCCTACTTTGTCATCAGTGTAAAGGAGTAATTTCTCTGACATGGCATTGTTGCAGTGGTTAACTTGGCGCTTGTCAGGCATGCCATGTGAGATTAGGTAGGATTTAGCACAGATGAGAGTAGTTTCCATTACATGTTGACAAACATCTGAAGAGGTTTCCAGTGTAGGTTTTCTTTCCTTAGGAAGATAGAATGTAGCCATCTCAGCCTAAAAGTTTGATACAAAAAGTTCTGCACCATATACCGTATCTCCGCTATCACATCCTGCAGGCAAATACAGTTCTGCCTCTCTGCACACCCAAAAGAACTTGAGTTTTGACCCAAGTTCAGCAGCTGGTTCAAGTTTACATTTTGTCCAGAGGCCCTGGAGTGAGTGCTGGCAGGGTTGGACAGTTGACGCAGGTCTAGTTGCTCCCCTGCTTACATCCTAGTCCCTGCTATCCACTGTTTTCTTGACTAGAGCATAAGCATGTTACTTGTGAGGCATCAAGGGAGAACCTTGATTTTCAGTCCATGCTCCAAAACTTCAGGCATATTAACCAGTGCCTGTTGCATTCAACACACATAATCAAGCCTTGAACTGAAGTCTGAAATACAGGTCTTCTCAAATGAGGATCCTAATTCATGGGTTGGCATGTCATGGGTCCTCCTTTGCTCTCTTTTTTTTTTTTTTTTTTGGGGGGGGGGGGCTAAATAATCTCTATTTAATTTCTGCTCAGAGAGTAATCTTCAAAAGAAGGATAGGTAGTGTCCTAGCTCTGGAAAACTTTTCCATTGGAGCTTTTTGGTTGCTTTACAGAGAGAGACAGCTGTGTTGTGGTCCAAACTCTGCTTTGAACACTAGCTTTATCTTTAGTCATTGAATAGGAGAATGAGGCAGTCAGCACTGTAGCATCCAAACTGCCTCCTTGTTCAAGTCTTGCCCTCTTTGCAGCTTACTCCATAGCTCTCTTCCCCTTCCTGATAACTAAATTAGTGGGAGGACAAATCCATAAATATTCAGTTGGCCCTCTGAAGTTTTGAAGGTGTTTGAGAAATAAGGTGCCAATTTGGGAGATATAATAATGCTACTGATGTTGTTTGTCAAGTAGCTCAGATGAAGAAGCAGTGCTCTGTGTGGGGCAAGCTTGTATTTTCCTGTGATGTCTTGCTAAATCCCCAGGTGGTTCTGAACCTGACAGAGACAGTCAGTGAGTGCAGCTGGGGCCAGTGCGTCTCATTGGTACAGTGTGAATGTTGCTGCACTGGAGCTGGCAGATTGAGGAAGTAGCGGCAGGCGTTGGTAGAAGAAGGATGAAGAATTAGCAGAAGCAGTCCTTCCAGCCAGAGTGCAGGGGGCTTATCCCAGAGACTTTGTTTCCTTGGAAGAAGGGAATCAACGAACAGGGGAAATAGTGTCAGCTGCTGCTTGTGAGATACCATGGGTATGCAGGGGGGAGTTGCTAGCTAGGTAGAATAGTGATCACATCTGACACAGGATCACACCTCAGCCTTCTTGGCTTTGTACGCTACACTAAAACACTGCTAGATGTTTTTGAAACTCAGCCAGCTTGTTGTTTATTCAGTATAGTAGTGAAATCTATATTGTTTGCAGCTGTTGAAAGAAACAACTTAATGAGACTTGCTCAGACCATACCATTTACACCAATCCAGCTCTTCGGTGAGTATCAACTTCCTGGTTCTGTTTTTTGCTTTATAAATAGTTAGTGCATTATCTTTTTAAAGATTGTGTTTGAGATACTTCCTCAGATTATTTTGAGCAATTTTTTTTTTATTTTTTTTTTCCTAAAAGAGGTGAACCAGGATAAAATCGTGGTAATTTAGGGACTTTTGGAGGTCATCTGGTGCAACTCCTTCTGCAGTCAATTCTGATCATGTTGCTGTCCAATAGCATTTTGAATTTGTCTTTAAATGGACATTCCTCAGCCTCTCTGGACAACCTCTTCCAGTGTTTGACTGACTTCACTGTGAACCTAGTATTTTTGCCAGTATTTGTTGGTGTTTCCCTGGCTGTAGCATATATCTGTTGGTATTCGTATGATTACTGTCTACCTCAGAGACGAGTCTAACACTGTCTTCTCTGTACCTGTCATTAGGATAGCTGAAGACAGCAAGAAGACTCCCTTTAACCTTATTACCTTCATTCTCTCTCTCTCTCTCTCTCACACACACACACACATGCTTGTAGATACAGGTATAGCATACCCTAACAAGAAGAAAGCCAGTGACTGGTTGAAAAGTCACTACACCTGTACCTGTTACAGGCGACTTGTAGTGCACCAAGGAAAAAAGAACTATGCTGTAAATGAAGAGTCGTAGAGAATAATATATAAATATTTTGGAAGTGTTATTAAATAAGTGTGCAGTGTTGGCTAACAGCAGAAGCTCTCCCTCTAGACACTTGAAATCTAGGTACCTTCTTTTCAATGAGTAGAATATTTTCTATCACAGCAAATAATTGTTGATACTTGCAGCATCATAGGATTTCTTGGGACCAGATTACTGCAGATAATTAATGTAGCTGTGAGCATATTGAACATTCTAATCTTTGAAGCTCCCAGGAGACACCTTTCTAGCTACTAAATTGTCAAAAGATAATAAAATTAAGAATTAATGAAAAATTTAAAAAATTTGTCTAGTTATGGTATCTTTATTCTAGTGCCTGTCTTTTCTATAAGACATTGGCTTTTCCTGTGCATTATTTGAAATTATAATATACACAAATTGTGGTATTGGACAGCACCTACATTTGTGCTAACTGATGAAGGTGGTTTTGGGAGTGGGGAGGAAGTCTACTAAACAGAATGGAGTTTGTCCTTCCTTATGACATTCTCTGCCTTTTTGCAGATGTAGTAACCTCATTGCACTTGCCAATGAAAACCTGTTTCTTATGAATTACCATTGCAAATAATGTGAGTTGCAAGAAGGAAGGTCAGGTTTAAAAAAATCAGTCCACTTTTATGTTGGTTTCCAAATGATGTCAAGAGAAAGGTGTCTCACTTACATGAAGAATGCTATTGCAACTATTTAGGGAAACAGCTTAACACTGAGTTAAAGCTCACCAAGTTTGTTCTGCTTTCAGAACAGTATTATTAGCAGGAGTAGAACATCTGAAATTTTGTGCAGTACAAGTAACTATGAAATTTCTGGGAAAAAGCAAATCTTAAACACAAAAACTGTATATTTCCTATTAATTTGCCTTAGCTTGTTCTCCTAGGTTTCCTTTTTCCAAGAAAAGTCTTGTCCTTTTCAGTCTAATTTCCTTGGCTCATTGTGTCCAAGTCACCACTTTGGAAACAATTCAGCTGTCTTTTTGCATTAAAAGATGTCAGTCTCTAGTCCTTTAATTTTGTAGTTGGTAACTATTACAAGCTGTGTCTGGGTTTTCTCACATTTATTTGCTAGGTGTGGAGGTTTTTTGTGTTTGTTTCGTTTTGTTTGTTTGTTTGTAGTTGTGTTTTTTTTTTTCCTCAAGCATAATTACAAGAATACTCTGAGCATTCTATGGATCTTGATTGATTTGAAAGGTATCTTACTAAAAATCTCCCTTTCCACATAAGTGCATAAACAGAGAGAGCCACAGGCAGGATAGTTAGAGTTCATATGCTGGAAATAAAATGTTAACCCTTTAAAAAGATGTACTTTCAAACGTCAACTGTATTTACTTGGAAAGCTGTGGCAAATGAGAATAATTTATATAGACCAGAATACCAATGAGATCTGTTTGTTTGGAAGTGTTTTGGAGGTCTTAAATTAGCCTTTGTTTAGAGGTTTCATACAAGTACTTTTGACTACTTAAGATTATCACAGTTGATCTTAAATGGAATGTACATAGTAAGTAGTGTAAATTTAAGCTGGGGAAGTTTTTGTGAAGATGAACAGTAATGATAAAAAAGCTCTATTTTAAAGTATGGTTTACAAAGTTATGAAAAGTGTTACGTTATTTTAAGGTACCAAATAAAAATGCAGTTCTCTCCCATTTCTGCAATGTGAAGTCTGCTAACAAAACTTCCTTTATTTTAAGCTGGGGAGGAAGTGACAGTCTATCGACTAGAGGAAAGTTCACCTATGAACCTTGATAAAAGCATGTCTTCCTGGTCCCAGCGTGGTACGGCTGCAATGATCCAAGTCCTGTCACGGGAGGAGATGGATGGGGGTCTGCGGAGGGCCATGAAGGTTATTTGTACTTGGTCTGAGAATGATGTATTAAAGTTGGGCCAAGTATTTATTGTGAAGTCTTTTCTGCCAGAGGTGGTTCAGACATGGCAAAAGATTTTTCATGATGGCACAGTGTTACATCTCTGCCTGAGGGTGAGTTCAGACTTGAAGGCACACTGATTGATCTAGCCTGATGTATCTTAAATGTTATTCTTCTTACATGTGATCGCCTTCAGCACGGTAGATGTGGTTTGATGTTATGTCTTGGAAAGGAAAACACTTTTAAGGAAGGTACCATTCTGAACATCATGTCAAAATATGTGAAAGCCAAGAAAGTCATTGGGAGAAGGCAACATGGATTCACTGAGGGGAAATCATGCTTGACCAATCTGCTAACCTTCTATGATGAAACTGGCTGGCTAGATGAAGGGAGAGTAGTGGACATTATCTACCTTACATTTAGCAAGGCTTTTGACATTGTCTCCCATAACATCTTCATTAAGAAACTCAGGAGGTGTGGGCTAGATAAATAGACAGTGAGGTGGATTGAGAGCTGGCTGTGTGACAGAACTCAGAGGATTGTGCTCCATGTAGCAGTGTTGCATTGGACTCTAGAGGACCTTGCTTTAGTGGGGGAACTTCCTGAAAATAAAAGTAATATTTATAACATTGTTTTCTTTAGGAGATCCAACAACAAAGGGCTGCCCAGAAGTTAATCTATACCTTCAATCAAGTGAAGCCTCATACTGTTCCCTATAGTCCAAGGTAAAATCACTGTCTTTAAGTATTACATGCCAAAGTTTTCTCTTCTCAGCTCTGTCTAGTGCAGTCATATTTTCTGTAGTGGTCTGAGATAGAACAGACAGTCTAATGATAGTTAATTGACTTTTTAAGAGGCAAAGTATGCAGCTTTGAACTTTGTCTTTGTAGCTACATGTGATGGCAAAATAATCGTCTTCATCACACTGTTTCCTAGATTTAAGCACAAATTCTTTATACAATTAACAAAAGACAATTTGATATAGCTCATTTATAGTGGGCTGGAATACATCAGATTATTCTGTTTGTCCATGAACTATACCTTCTGATCACATGCTTTGTTTTGAGAGTTTCAAACAGAGAAAGCCTTTGTGCTACTTACCATTTGATACTTTCTGCTATTCAAAATTTTCCAGCTAGGGAAGATCTGTCCTCTTTTTTGGTAAATTTACTTTGCATCATGCAATGTGCTGGAAATGAGGATGTTCATTACCCCATCAGAACCTGATAGACAGCATTTATATCTACAGGTTCCTGGAAGTTTTCCTCATCTACTGCCATTCAGCAAACCAGTGGCTGACCATAGAGAAGTACATGACTGGCGAGTTTCGGAAATACAACAACAACAATGGAGATGAGATTACTCCCAGCAGCTTGCTGGAAGAGCTGATGCTGGCCTTTTCTCACTGGACCTATGTGTACACCCGTGGGGAGCTCCTTGTCCTGGATTTGCAAGGTGACAGCTAGCATGGGATCACTGTTTGAAATGAAATGAAAAAACAACTATCTCAAAAGATAATTTAATAATGAAGAATGGGTCAAATTCTGTTCTTATGTACATGCTGGAGAGGCTCAATAAACACTGAATGTCTGCTGTGTGGAACAGATAAATGAGTATCCACAGAAACACTCTGGATTAATGTAGATGTAATGAATAAATAATCTGGCTTCAAATATATATAGGCTGAATAAGTAAAAAAACAGGTAGATAGTGTGCAGGATAATTTCAGCCAGCTCTGTAAAACCATTCCATAGTTAAGATATTTTTATTTTTATTAAGATACATAAATAATACAGAGATTCAAACACAGCTATGTATATATGCACAATTAATATAAGTGTATATCTGTCAGAATAAGGCAAACTACTGTCTGTATATTTTATTTTTCATATTAATAAATCTGTAACCAGTTTACATAAGCTACAAGCCTGAATACTATTCACAGAATCTGGTGACTCCTTCAAAGGGCATGTGTTCATTTTAGTGTACATATGTAAGTGGGAACATGGCATATTTTAAAGAGATAAAACAGTTGACAATGTTCAGAAGACAAACAGCACCCATCAAACAGTATAAACAGTATTGTTTGTCATTTCTGTCAAGGGAAATGTGTATAGGTAGACAGAGGCTTAACATATTTGCATTTTACAGCATCCAGAAGCTCTGAATTACAAAAAGACATGCTTATTATGCAAAACAAACCTATAATGCCATCCTTGCCTTCTTTTGGTTTTAGCTGCACATGAAAAAATGTACAGAAAAAGTCTGTCTTCACCATAGCCTAGTAGAATTTGTCTGAAGTGTGCTTGGGTTTATTGTGCAACTCTTGACAGTTCCAGATCAGCTGTGTTGGCTCAAATATAGATAATTTAAACATCTATGTAAATCTCATCAAGACTGGAGCTGCTTCAGTTTCCATCTCAAACAAACTGAAATCTGCTCTAGTTTTGGCCTTGTGTTTATCTTGTAGTTCTTTAAGCTGGAGTTTAGGAAAAGTGTGAAGGCAGCTCCCCTTGGAGTTCTAATAAGATTAATCTCTATAAATTTGCTATGCTTTATGTAAGGCTATCTCTGCATACATATACACCATATTTTGTCTATTTTATATCAACTGAGCTGGTCTTCACTGAAGAGTATTGCAGTCTGGTGGTACTTAGATCACAATACGCTATTTACATCGTCTTTACCAGTGCTCATTGTAGAATATAAACTTTTGATCAGTGGCCTATTGAAGTAAAAAGAATTGCAAATCATATGACCACAGACATGCTTCATTAGAGTAAAAGTACAGTGATTTCCTTGGATGTAAGAAAAAAACTTTTTGGTAAAATGGTAGTATGTCATCAGTTTGGGGAACTCAGTAACAAAGGCATCACCATTCAGGTATCATAATGAAATTATTTATTTATGTAATATGCTTACATGGCCATCCAGAAGAAAAAAAGGGATATCAGACACAAGCATTTCCAAATAATGAATTTGGTGCTTGTTTGGCTTCTTTTGTTTGTTGAGCCTTGAAGAGAATATGTATCTGAGACCACATCTCTTGATATCAGTGAGATCCACATCTGATTGATACTTATACTCCAAGTTAAATAGCAGTCTTACAGATGCTCACATTTTTCTTAGTTGAGCTTCAGCACAGTTTTTAGCGCATTTGCAGAAGTCTTCCTTCTACATATAAATAAACCTCAAAGCAGCTGAAGTCAGGTCTCTAATAAAAGCTCTGTATGTTTGCCAAAACTGAACAGATTTTTATACCCGTAACATTTTCATTTTTACTCATGACCACTCTAACTGTGACACTTTATGATATACGAAGAAAATTGACAATTACATATTTTTTAAATGCCAGATTATGAAATCATGACCAATTTCATAACACTGAAATTTCATTACGCTGTGATTTGTAACACACACTGTTGATTTTGTTGTAGGTGTTGGGGAAAACCTTACTGATCCATCTGTGATTAAACCTGAAGACAAAATGTAGGTTTTTTTTGTTGAAGTTGTCTCTTATTTCAGATGTTCTGCTAACAGTCTGCATCTTTAGGGTATTTTTGTGTTTTATGTGAGAGATATAATGATTTTTTGCATGGCCTTTGGGTTCAATGTAAGTGTGATGGCAGTGGAGAGACTACATCCCCTACTGTGCTTTGGAGGACTGTGGACTTGGGAACTCTAAGTATCCCAACTCTCAGCATACGATGGGGAGAGTTGGTGTTGCTGTGCTGGGACCACAGGGGTTTTTCTCAGGGCTGTACAGGAAGATCAAGAGTGGGACATATAAGACCCTGTAGGCCTTTTCACAAATTTGCACTAAAGGAGGTAAACAGTAATTTAAGTGTGACAGTCTGGTTTTGCCTACCTAACAGGACACTGTTTCATGGAGCATATGGGGCCACAATACCTTAATATGATGAGGAGAAGGCCTCTGGATCTCTGATCTTTTCAGTAGATCCTCATGGTACGTTTAAACATACTGCACGTTACAGTTTCTGAGCTGTGATATGGATATTGTAAATTGTGTATGGAAAGATACAAAAACTAGAGAGACTGCATGGAAGTAATAGTCTGCCTTCATACATCAAATTTCAGAATCAGAACTATGGCTATTTGCCCATCCTGTGACTTTGCCCATCGTTGATATTTGCTGTAGTGAGAGAAGAAGCAGTAGTGTGGATGGTTGCTGTCCTGTAGAGTCCTCTTCTCTGGGGAGTCTCTCCAGCAGTGCCCTCAAACCCTTTTCCCTCCACTGTCTTGTACTCAGCTTGACTTCCTCTCACTGAACTCATGTCATCCGTTTGAAGGGTTGTCTTATGTTTGGAAGACAAGAAGATAGAAATATCAATAGTGTGATTCAATGCAAAGTGCAATTAACTGGAGAAATACAAGATGACTTGCCTAGAACTCAGAACAAGTTAATTTTGGAAGCACCTTCTTGGTTCTGGGACCACCATTAACATTTCATTAATAAGATTAGTAATAAATGTATTAATGTTTTATGAATGTTTAATATGAAAGTGTATTGTGTAACACATAAAAACATTTATTTTGGAAGAAACATAAAAAATATGCTGAGTACCTCACAGGAGCAAAGACTTTGTCCTAATTAGGTCAAAGGTTTTCTGTGACAAAAGCACAAGGATAGCTTAGGATACACAGACAGATACACATGTAGTTATTAATTGGATTTTATTGAACATTTTAAAGTATTTATGCAGATGTATAAAAGTTGTGTTTGAAACTGGCCAAGTGGACTTTTCAGATCAGTGGTAAACTGTAACAGGGCTGATACAAATTTTAGCACTACCTATGGTTAAATTCTGTTTTGCCTCTTTGATTTAGTGTCTTATGTCATTATCTTGTAATGAATCTTCTATGCATCCTATGAATCCTCTATGCATCCTGCATGCTGTCTTGAAATCAGCTTTACAATGACAAAATGTGACCTCTAGCACATCGTTTCTTGGTTTTATGTACAGTCAACAACAAAATAACAGATCTGTTTGGAAAGTCTGCCTGATATTGTGACATCTCAGATCCTGAGCCCATGCGAATTGGTGTAAGTTCACGGATATTGAACATCAGTTGAAGATCTGGCCATTTGCACTGCACAGGATGTTTGAAATGAGAAAATTATGTGATATTAATGAAAAGATCTCCTTTACAAGCAGAAGTAATCAGGAAATAGAAGCAAGGTTGTGACACCACAAAGTCTCTGCAGACTCCTGTACTACCCAAACACTGGGAAGATTTGCCTCATAAGCAATACTCTAGCTGCTTTTTTTAGCATGTACTACTTGCCAAATCCACAACGAAGTTCACATGGGTAAAGCTTTCACTGACACTAGGTGTAGAGTGTCAGTAAAAGCAGATTCAGAGATGAGGAAAACAGAGGTCTGAATTTCCAATTGGAAAGAACTGATGCATTAGGCTTGCTGAGAGACATGAGAAAAAGGGTGCTGGCAGTCAAAATCTCATTACAAACTTGTGAAAAGGAGGAGTAAGAGGTGCTAAGTCTCTTACTCTCCCTTTTGAAAGTTCTCAGGCAGATAGTGATGGGGTGAAGGCTGTAGTAATGAGTGGAGACCATGTTCTCTGGCCTACTCATTAGCATGTGTTGTAAAGAACAAATCTATTGAATATTTACCAAGCTTTGCACTTCCTGCCAAACAATTTACAGTTGAACTGCTGCCAGTAGACAAAACATCTTCATGAACTGAACTCCTGCTATAGAAGAGTGCACAACTGGAGCAGGTGTACTGGAAGCTCAATCTACAAAAACATATTGAATAAAAGACTCGGGTGCCTGCCTGGAAAAGTGCTACTTGCCAAAAAGTCCCTAACAGACTTTACCTTCCATCAGTAAAGCCCTGTAAATGTCTTACTTGAGCATTTGTAGCTCTGCACTATAAGAAGCACTCTTTGCATCAGCACAGTTTGTGTTACCTGCCTTCCAGCACCAGCCCAGTGCAATATGATAGGCATTTATGAACCATAACTATTAGGTAACGGTCTGAATAAAAGAAGGAACATGTTTTGTTTTTTTAAAGCCCATTAGTTCAGGTTAATGCACCTGCTTGGGAAATCAGAAAGCTGGGCTTGGTATTTTTCTCTGCTTTGAAACAAAATCAGAACTTGAATAACAAGGACAGTGATGTTGATTTGAAAACATTTGTAGGGTTAGAAGGGACGCAAAGAGCTCAGCTGGTTCTTCTGCACCGGGTCATTCCTGGCTTTACAGGTCCTGTATGGACACTCTTCCAAGGATGAACCTCAAAATCTTCCCAGAGTGTCTTTTTTAATTGTTTGCTATCATTACTGTCTGGAAAGATTTTTCCTTATTTCCTTCTCAAAACTTTTGTTTCTGGTCCTCTCAACTGTTGACATAGAGAAAACAATTTCAGCAAGCTCAAAGATAGTCACCATCTTCTCCTTCAACTTCTTTTTTTTTTTTTTTTTTTTTTTTTTTCTTTTTAGGCTACCCCCTAATCTTTTCACATATGTCATGATTTCTAGGCTGCTGATAATTCTGGTTATTTTCCCAATTTATCCCCATATTTCTTGAACTAGTTTTCTGAATTTAAGGTAATATTTGTTTTAAACCACTGTCAGTGCTGGGTAGAGGGTAAAGATTACTTCTCATAGGTTGTAGACAGTATCCCTGTTTATCTCACAGCAATGTGAGAAAATCATCAGTCTGTCTTGAGCTGTTTGCTGTGCTTTGCATGGAATAACAGTTAGATCAGAGGAAGTATCAGAGTGGTTCTGTAACCTAGGGGTTAGTGAAGTCTTCTCAATTTCCTGTGCTTCCCCAAACAAGTACTTAAGTATGTTCTCTTCTTCCTGGCATTTAACTCAATTATATCAAGGGGTAGAAATGGCTATATAGTGTAATGTCATTTAAAGTGTCATTTAAAGATGGAATTTAAATAATACTTCACTTCTTGCTTCATTTGGTATACTAATTTGTAGTAAAGGTCGATTAGACAAGTCCTTCAGATGGTCCAGGGGACAGATAGTCTTTAGTGTATGCCAGAGACACTAAGCTTTCTGTAGTAGTTTTAGTTAATAATCGCTTTTCTCTTTTGTAAAAGAGGGGAGTGTAATATTTGAAAACTGCTTTCTTTAGAGGGAATATGTTTTCTTTGTGTGGATTACAGATAGATTTGAGAGAGTTAAAATTTTTTTCTATAGCTTCTTAGCTGTAATTGACTTCAGATTTTTAAAATGTGTTGTTTCCAGTCTGCATATGATTAAAATAAAATACCAGCAGTCATGAAGTTTCTTTGGAAGTGTTTCCTGTGTGCTGTGTTCCATGATGTCTAGAATGTCAATTAAATTATTGAGAATAATGGTGGAGCAATATTAAAATTAATGAACAGGAATCTTTCAGACTACATTAAGAATCTGATATAGTTACGTGATACTTCTAATACATGTGTGGACACAGCTCGCTTCTGTTTGTAATTGTGTCATCTTAATTCAGAATATGCAATACACTTCCACAAATGGATCCCCTAGTAATGTTGCCGAACTGGCCTGAGTGCAGACATATGGAAATGAGCATGGGAAGAAGCAAATAAATTTAAAGCCTTGCTTGTCAGTAGTATAGTGTGTTTTTTTGTTTGTTTCTTTTTTCTTTTTGTTTGTTTGTTGTCTTCCCCTGTGCTGCATGTCAATGTGACTAGGTCTCTGCTTGCTAGCTCTGGTTTGTTTGCAGGTGTCTACCATCAAACTCAGAACCAAACAATTTGCTTCATGAGGATTGGCGACTGCCACAGAGTCACTCTGATTCTGGTATATGTTGTCTAAATATCACTGTGTCCAAATTTACTTTGCGTGATTTAGTAGGAACTGTTGCATCTGTCTTGTCTCCCTTTAGACTACCTCTGAGACACAGCAGGAAGGAAAAGCATTGTGGGGAATATGTAGGCTAGAACTTTTCCAGAAATGGCAGTTTTTGCGTCTTAAAGCTAAGAAACTTGTGATGTATTCTGAGCCTTGACTTTCTTTATACAATGAGCTAACATCTCAGATTTAGACAATAGAAAATATCAACATCTCCATCCCCTACAATCTCTTTATTTTTAGTTCACTGATTATTTAATAATATTTCTTTTAGATCTGGAAAGATGGTGTTTGGACCAGCAAACCTTGGAGAAGGTGCAATAAGAAACTTCATCACAAAGCATCGTTGTAACTCTTGCTGCAAGAGGCTGAAACTTCCTGGTATGCAAAGTAAAGATTATTTTTTAATCTACCTATAGCTAGTGCAAGGCAGTAAAGGCCTAGGCGTACTATGAAGACAAGAATTAAAATTCTATTGAGTTGAAAGATTATAGCAGGCACCCTCTCTCTGCAAAGGCAGATCTAGGAGTATTGCTTTTTTACTTTGCTCTTTTGTCCAGCAACTGTTTAAAGGTTGAAGCCTATCAACCTGATGTTAACATTCAGCACAAAAACTTACACCCACTGGACTGTTTCTTTTGCTTTGACAGACTGGTAGCTCATTTTTCCAGGGTCATGGCTATACATAACATCAGCAGTAATTTTTAGAATGAGAAAGAGTAATGATCTAAAAATTGGCAAATAAGAGAAAAATTCACTGGAGGTTTCCTGGCCCTGGGATAGGATCCTATACATGCAGCCCTTACTTCTGCTTACTGGGATCACCTGTTGTTGTGTTAGATTTGGTAGCTTTTTCTTCTGTTTGATGTGTGATGGATTTAAAAGATTTGAAGCCAAAATAGATTGCTATTCTGGGTTAATTTCACCCACGTATTTTTTTCTCAGTGAAAGCTTCTTCCTTTCAGTGCCTACATGGAGTAATAATTGCTGTTTGATTCTGAAGCAGAAACTGCAGTGTTATTGTGTTTGATTATTTGTATCTGTATTAGCTAGAGGTAATAGAAGGGAAAAATCAGCTGAATGAGTAGATAGGGAAGGTTAATTAATCTCATCTGCTTGGCTCTGATTGCCCCTCTGCAGATCTTTTTTCCTCCTGGAAGCAGTCAACAGGCTGCCACCAGTACATGGGTTGGACACTGTCTGGGGTGTATCTGCTCTTCAAACATTTACTTGGCTTTTTCTTGCCATAGATTTGAGAAGAAATGAGTACATACTGGAAAGGGTCAGTCCAGCCCCTGAAATAGAAATGGAGACAAGCACCAGAGGAGCTGACAATGCAGATGAGCCTTTGCAGTATGACACGAGGCTGTGAAGTGGTGGCTGTGAGCCCAGCCCATGGGTTTGCATGCTGTAAAACCTACTTCTTCTCATTGCCATGGGTCAGTCCAAAAGAACAAAAGGCAAATACGTGAGTGCAGCATCTGTCTGCCCTCTAGAGGCCCTTCAGGCAAGGAATTAAAAAAAAAATAAAATTCCCAATATTTACTCCCCTTCTGTGCTATTGTGCTGGTCTTTCTGGTACAGTAAATTCCTAAGAGCAGATCACCCTTAGCTGCATCAACTGTCTCATTTTTGATTTTCTTTCTTTCTTTTTTTAAGACTTACTCTTCCTTGGGAGTAGGAGGCTCTCCAGGAAACTGCAGAATACTGCTTCCTCTTTATTGTTGATTTTGATGCAGAGACAAACCAAGAATATATGAGTAATGAATTTGTGTTTTAAACAATAGCTACTGATATAGCAGGTAGGCTGAAAAATTTCATGGGAGCTTCACCTTGAATTCTTTTCACTTACCAAGAACAAGTTGAACAATGAAGAATTAGTTTATTGAACATTTTGAGTTAATGAAATTGAAAAATTTATCATCTGTCATACAAACATGTAGAGTAACCTTGAACATGATTCAACTTTTAAGCAGGACCTGTCATTCTTTATAATGTTTTAGCTTCAGAATATTTTAAAGTTGTAACTGGCAATAAAGATTTTACAATTCACAAAGAATAATATGCTCCATTTCTTATTTTACTTCTTGCTGTCAATGTCATGCTGTATGTAGGACTTTTGTCTAACAGTGGTGCGTGTTATTATATAGACATATATTATTATATGTTTTCTTTTGCAGCTTTTGCATCTGTCATGTAATGTGATTTCTGTATGAGTTCAAAAAACACAAAAATCAGTTATGTGCAATATGACTTTTCTAGAATACAGATTGAAAAGAAATGCTTAGCAGAAGTATATTTAATACAACTAGTGTTGTATTAAAGCTCATATCATTAAAGCAATTTTGTACTTTGATATTGAGTAGCAATACCCTGTGCTGAAATGTGAGTCAACAGAAAACTTTGTACTTAAGTAAGAAACAAAATCATATTTCCACCACCATTGACTGACAGTAAATATGAATGTTTAAGGGATCTATTTGTTATGATCTATCATCCATTTTATATATGTATAAAATGTCTGTGTACACAAAGGAATCAGTAGTTATATGTACCCAGTTTTTATATTGTTTATTATATTGATGATGGCATTAATGACCTACACTGTGTTCAGCTGAGGTGCCTTCAGTTCCTGAGAGCGTCATGAAGACATTTGTCACAGTTTGACTCAGGTCCGACAACAATGCTCTCGATCCCCCCTCCCCCCAACCCAGGTAGGGAAGGAGAGAGAGAAAAAGAGAGAGACTTGGCTGGATTGAAAACTAAACTACACAGCTTTAATTAAAACACTAATGAATGATACAAGAAAATATATACAATTATATACAGATATATATTCAGGTATGGGCAAAAGCCTCTCACCACCCCCCACCCTCAGCAACTCCCACAGCACTTCCCTGAACTGGGAAGAGTCCCAAGGAATCCCGGAGCTGCTGCTGGAGAAAGCAGAGAGTTATGGGGGTCACGAGAGATCAAGCCTGAGGGTCGACGGTGATGGATGAACAGAGTCCTCCCCGGACACCGGCCATGGACGGAAGAGAAGGGGAGAAGAAGAAGGAAGGAAGTTGTCTTCTGTGATCTCTGACCTTCCTCTGAGCTTACGTAGATATATGGAATGGAATATCTTTGGCCAATTTTGCTGTCCATCTAACTCAGCCTCCTACGGGAGGGTCACAGATCTCCCCATAGTGTCTGAGCTGGCAGAGTGCAGGTGCGGCCTTGAAGCCTCAGTAGTTAGAAAAACATTCCACTGTCTTATCAGCCTAGCAGAACACACTGTTGCTAGTTACAAGAAAGCTTACTGAAGGGAAAAAAAAAAATCAGTAAAAAGAAAAATTGGCTTCATCCTGGCTCAAACCAGGACAACATTATTCTTGCTTTTTACTTTTTTAGAAACAATTTCCTAAGGCTGTTTTTGTGAAAAACCACCATCTTTCTCCCTGTTAGACTATTCTTTTGCAAAAATGTATTTCCCTTTGGCTTTTTGAGAAGCAATTAAATGTATTGGAAGGCTTAACTTGTCTGTGAAAGAGATTGTTTAATTGCATGCCTACAGAATGATGGTGGATGTTGATCTCTTTACTAGTAAGGTAGTAATTCTGCTTCCAGTGATTAACATCTTAAATTTGGCTTTAGGGAGATATGAGCTTACATGCATAAGTATATACTTTAAAGACAGAACTTTCCTTAAAGTATTTCCAGCTGTTATTATGCCCTTAAATTCAGGTATGTTAAATGACACATAAATATGTCTTTAAAGCCACAGACAATTAAAGTTCTGCCCTGACAGTGTTTTCCCCAATCATTGTCATAAATTCTGAACACATACATATTAGACACAAAGCATAGACTCAACACTAGGCAGGGCCTGAATAGTTTTTGGTTTTTTAAGTTTTGAAGATATGCACCAGTCATGTTTCATATGATCCTTACTAGACAGCCTTTCTGTTGCCTTGAAGAGTGAGTGACTTCTGCATTCATACCAGCACTTGTCAGAATTATTATAGCATATAGCTCAGTGTAGATTCATCTTACTTCTTGTAGTTACAAACCCATCAATGTACATGATACCCTCCCCTAAAATCAGGGATCCTTGCAGGATACTAATCTGTGTTAAAATATAATTGATATAAATATGTTTGAGATTTTATTTTGTTCAGTGCAAAGTATTACGCTGATGAAACAAGAAAAGGAGGTATTTGAAATGTTTCCATTGTATACTTGTATCCTATTCTGCTGGTTAATTGATTTTGTTTCACCTTTCTTTTTGCACTTTTTAGAGAGGGCTGATTCACATTTCACTAAACTGTAAATTTGAGTATTTGGGAAAAGGCCTTTCACTCCCCAACATTGTCATAGTTCAGTAATAAATTTATAATTTGAAAAAGTTATTTTTATTTCTTTTCAGTCCTTGTGATGGCTTTCTTGCTATGAATTCTGTACATTCTTTAAATTGTCTTTTGATGTCTTAACAGTGACCTAGAATTGAAGCCTTTGCCCATTGAAAACATGGGAAAAACTGAGCAACCTTTACTGGGAACAGCAATAAGGCCCATGCCAAAAATATAGTGCATGTGGAATAAAAGATATGCAAGATGGGATTCTTTCTCTAGCTGCTTGAAAACTAACATGGAAGAGGAAATCTTGCCTGTCAAACTGTAGAGTTTTCTTTTTATTAGTTTCAATGTTTGTTTTTGCTTAAAAACACATTCAGTAATTTATTTCATGCTTCCAGTGGGTTCAGGAAAAAGGTCCCGGTTACTTTGCTTAAGTAAGTCAGGCAGTAAAGTTCTGGAAAAAAAATAATTGGAACCAAAGTATTTATAAACTCACATTTTAATATGAGCTTAAAAGAAGCTTACTTAGGAAATCAGTTGAGATTATTCAATGCAAAATGTGTTTCTGGCAGATACTGCATTGGAGATGTAGCTTAAACATATGGAAAATAACCAGAAATTGCAAACTGCACTTTCAGGAAGGCTTTTTGTAATTTCTTTTATTCGTTGTTGTGGTGTATTTGTGGTTATTCATTTTTTGTTAGTGCGATAAGGACAGAAGGGGTATTACATCTGTATTTTATAGAGCTGGATTTGTATTTGTGGTTTTGTCAATCTGTTTCATATTGTTTTAAATAAATAAAAATATGTTTTGAAAATGTTTCTGTTCTTGATGGGGGTAGGATGAAATATGTTTCCTAAAACTAATTAAAACAGGTGAAAGTAATATACAGAAAATAATGCAGTTATTATTATTTTTAATATCAAGGTAATAAACAGGTATTAATTCTATATTTATCACCTGGTTTCCAGCTCTTCTTTTTTTTTAGTGATGCAGTAACATTAGTTTCTATTTTTTGTAGTCAATATGCTTGCAGCAAGAATTATTTCCACACCTGTCCCATAAGTAAAATTTTCTTTTCACAGAAGCAGAAATTAGCTCCTTAATGAGATGTTTTTCTCTTAGATCATAATTTATTAGGTGTTCAATAAACTCTGGATTTTTTTGAGTTGAGACGCATGATTTAATCTTAGAAAACTTGGTAGTTAGTAAACCAAATCACTGTTGCAGATTTAAGAAAAATAAATGTGATTAATATGACTGACTTATTTTTCTCTCTAATTCTGTGTAGAATACTCTAATTCTTATATAGATCTGTGATATAAAAAGCCTGTATAGTCATTATTGTAAACAAGGAGCTGATATAAATCAATGGTGTTCCATTCACTTCATTGTCAAATGAGTTATTTTAGATCAGCTACCTTTTATGTTTCTCTTCCATTCTTAGGATGTTGATTCCAGCCACTTTTGCTTGAAAAAGTGATCCCAGAAATAAAGAGAAGGTTGTCTGGAGTGACCCAGGTCTTCACATCAACTGTGATCACAGCAGAGTTGTCAGCCCTTTACTTGTGGCGAGACCTTTTGCAAGATCTGTTACTGCTTTTCAGCTTTTCTTTGAGATACCTGTTATATATTCAATTATTCTCAAAACAGTTTGATTCACTGATTCATGGCAACTATTGCTAGGAAAGAAAACATCAAACTAAAACCAAATAAAAGCTATTTTCCTCTTAGATATTGAATAATATGTAATAGCTGCAATGCTCTGTTCATTTGTCTACATGGCTTTAGTTCTGTCTGTTGGGACGGAGTAAACAAACTAGTGTTTTAAAATAAGCTGGGTACATTTAGATGTCAATGTTCACCTGTAATAATGTGCTGAATCAGAAAAAATAAGAAAGAAGTCCTGCAGAGAAGCAGGGAATTTGTTTTCTAAAGGAAGCCTGGCTGTGTTTTTTGTGCCAAGGTTTTAGGCTGAAATCTTCCATTTCTCAGGTTGTCATTAAATAAATATGATCTGATTTTTGACATGCT